ACAGTATATATATATATATCACTTTTTAGGGATTTTCCGGTAAGTTTTCTTGATTCGTTAGCTTGAATTTTGTTGTGAAGATGATACCTCGCTCTGATGATGTCCATCATATGACCAACGAATGCTTAGCAGCTTTTTCACCAGAATCGAAAGAGATTACCTTGGAAACAGCGTCAGCATGGATCATCTAGTAAAGTCAATCGACAACTGGTCAAGAGGAGTCCGCCGTCGTATTCTGGTGGGACCGACATTCCAATCTCTTCAGCCAACATTGTCACTCAAAATGGAAGTAAGCTCAACAACTCTCGGCCAGTCTAGCATCTTGTCCTGCCTGGCCGCGCCCCTTTGCGTTGGTCTCGCCGGCAGCAGGGCAACCAGACATCGCAGTCTGGTAGGAAGAGTCTCAGACTCAATAGAAGACTCTGCCAGAGCTACAGCATCAATTGGCTTCCTATGGGATATTCCCCGCCGAGGCGCCGGCGGCGCCTGCTGGCATGGCGAGCAAAGGGAACTCTGAGAGGAGGCAAAGACGCGGCCAGTCAATTTGGCCAATGCAAAAGCAAGTCTGCGAGGGTTTTAGCCTACCGCCTGGTGCTACCTGCTGAACTAGAAGCTTAGTCTTGCCACAACTGCTCTTTTGGTTCACTTATGTTGGCCGCATTCCCCTAGGAGCCCCTTTGTTCGGCACGAACAAGCAGACTAGACAAATGATAGAATGGAAAAATTTGTTTAGAGAACTCGGCAAATCAAGTTTGCCGCGACAATCTTCCCGCCAAGTGCATGCTGTGATCGGCACGAGAAATCTCGTCTAAAATGGGATAGATTCGGTTAGGAAAGGGAGAAGAAGGGTCAGTCTGCCGGATAGCTTAGCTCCTTGGCGGCCCACTCACCTATTCATTGCATTCAGCATCTCGACCAGAACCAAGACGGACAGCGCCATCGACATCGGCTTTGGATGGGTGAAAATGGCGCAGTCTATGCCTTCAAAGCGAGACTCCTGGGCTAAGCACTGGGATTGATGAGTCTTCATTTCGGAGAGGTTTAGGCAAAACAGAGAAGGCAAAAGTGAGGTCGGAGAGTTAAAGATCAATTTAGGCAAACAGGGCAGTGAACTTCTAGAACTTGAGAATTCTAGAGGAGCATTCGTGTCCACGCAACGGAAGAGGAGAAGCTGGAACATAATTCCAATAATGCCGGCCTCTAGACTCCAAAGTACACATAGATCATAACCTAGGCTAATAAGCTGCTCAAAACCAGCGAATGGAGCAGAAATTGTGTGAAATGAAGGTTAGTATATATTATCTGAAGTATGCCACGGTATGACATAATAATATCTACTCTTGGATTTGCTCAGACTTAACTCTGGCCAACATCAAAGCAGAAAATAACCCTACATTGAAATTCTAAAAGGTTGTTTGGGGCTTAGAATATAGTTTTCGTTCATAAATAGAGTTTTGAGACTACAAGGAAATCAGTAATATGAGATGTATTCACCCTATTTCGTTTAAGGTGATGAACAACTGATAGGAGGGTGTTGATAAAACCTCGGTGAGGTCGGAACTGCAGTCCACTCTGAATGAGAGCAGCTTTTGAGAAAGCAAGGTTATGTGAAAGTCAATTGAAACGTCATCTCTACTCATATCATTGTGGGAAATATCAACTACCAGTCCTTCATCATCTTGAAGGAAATAGGGTGAATACATCTCTTATAATATAGTATTTGCGAAACCTTATTCTTCTCTTGCAACAAGGGCCTAATTATGCACAAAGGCTTTGTCTCTGTAAACTGAACGTCTCTCGTCAAGGAAGCATTTTAATGCATTGGCTTAAAGGGTGAAAATCATAGAAGTCGTTTGACCTCGTTTTCATCAGAGAGACCTTGGTCAATGCACCTTGTCCAGCATAGGTTCTAGACTTGGTAATTCACAGAATGGAAATGATAATTTGACCAAGTTGCGAAAACGAAATCAAACCGCTTATTTACAATTAGGAGAGACCACATCATCTTGGTCTTTAAGCTGTCGATCGCGAACGCCAGCTCGGAAATGCCAAACGATAAACGAAAAACAATAAAGTATTTCAAGATTACCCTTTTACTTAACTATCAAGGCCAGGTTGAGAATTATAAAGAAAACCTAATGAGTTCATACAAGTCGTAAAAATAGGATGTTACACATAAGTTGTATAACAATATTACATTCGAAAAGATTAGAGCGTAATAAATAAAAATGTGTATCACTCAAATATTCAACGATAGTTGGACGCAAGCTTGCTCGTCCAGGCGTTGATCTTGGGTCTTCTGAGAGCATGCTCTATGGGATGCAGATTAGATTGAGGGATCTTAATTACGTCTGTACGTTTGGTGGTGTTATGGTAGGTATGTTGTTCTGTGCAGTTATTTTCGTGCTTGTTAACTGGATTGATTGGTTGATTGGCTGCTTGTCTGTGTAGTTCTACCTGTTCATAGCGTTCAGCATCTCGACGAGTACCAACACGGAGAGTGCCATTGTCATCGGTTTTGGGTTAGCGAAGATTCTGCAGTCGATGCCGTGGAAGTTCTGTTCCTCCGCCAGGCACTGCATGTGGTGCGTCTGACAGACGCAAGGTGTGTGTATTTTAGTATTCTGCTTAGCAAGCGATAAAAATATGTCTAAAATTGATTCATATAATTAGCCTCACTTCTAAGCTTTTAGGAGAGTTCCGTTAGTGACTGTTGGCAATATTGAGAGAGCTCATACATTAAATGATCTATCATATATTTTCTAAAAGGAATAATTAGTGAGCTGATCCACTCAATTCTACATAAGTTTCAACTATTTCTGGAATTATTTTGAGGATAGTGCCTATATTTTTGGTATCATAGTCAAGCATTTAAAATCAAGAATGCTGAAATGACTGGATTTAAATGAGAAATTCGGTTTGCTGAGAGATTTTGGCCAGTGGTCCTTGCTTCACCTACATTGATGCATATATTAAGTCAATTCTTTATAATATCTGCTCTCTGAAAGAATGTCAACTGATCAAAGCAAACCATCGCTGGAATAAAAATATTTCAGAAATTAAGCATGGACTATGATAAAGTCCTAGATTTAATAGAAGTTGTTTGACCTTGTTTTCGCAACTCGGTCATATTGGTAGAAAGACTTTGAGCAACGCACTCAGTCCGAAGTGCATCATAATTTCCAGAGTAGGACCGTGGACGTGGTACATTCCCAGGCGTTTCGCTGGCATCGTAGTCAGCATCGTCAGTAAGTCTCGCCATTTGTAGCACCACACAACAACTCGTCAAAGGGACAAGTGAAGCTCATCCTTTGACCAAACGTGTACTAAACAGTTATTGTATCTCCCCTTCTGCCCTGGCCTATTCACATTTCCTATATCCTCCTATCA